CGCACGCACGCACGCACGCACACAATGATATTCTCACACACATACCCACACAATGATAGCAGAAGAGGAAAGGCTTGGTGGAGGGACTGGAGTCAAGGTGTGTGGAGACAGAGTCCAGGTCCTTTGCTTGGGGGAAGAAGGTGGGTGATAGCTACCTATCCCAGGCTGAGAGTTGATCCTTGATGGTCAGTCAGGGTCTTTTCTAGCAAGGTGTTTTACAGAGGGAGGTCGCTGGCAGGGCCTCTGGGTGGATAGGTGGCATGGTGTAGTGCTGGTCCAGATGGAGAGGGCATCCCAAAGAGGTCACGCTCTACCCCCCTTTTTATAGGGGTGGGCTACCTGTGTCTTCTATGGGAAGGACATGTCCAGGCAAGGCCAGTCCTGCTCAAATGCATATGTGCAGATCCAGGTGCCTTCATTGTCTGGTGGGATACAATGGTGGGGTTTGCTGGTTTCTGTAGGGTCTTTGTCTTCCAAATGCTGGGGTCCTGTATCTTTCAAATGCTGCATTTTGTTTCTCTATTCCTGGTTGAGGTCTGTGGTTCCTGGGTGAGTCAATGCAAGGCAATGGTCGGGTCACTGAGTTGTTGGTCTGGTCATTACTAATCATTCAGTAGAGGCCTGCTACCATTATGCCTCAAGCACACTCATTCATTCCCATTCATTCAGGAACCAATTTACATGAGACATGAATCACAGTTATAACATACTATACAATAGGTTATACCTGGGCAGGGGACACAAGATGTAGGCTTGACATACAAAATGGAAACTTGACATTACTTTACAGACACAGGCCTAAATCATATCAATACAATATAAAACAGTAAAAATCAATAAAAACGTAACAGAACACTATTTACGTTATAAAAGGGGCTTGTTACTATAAGGGAGTATAAGAACTTAGCTTACCTATGACTACCTACAACTACTTATAAGGGATAGAGGGGGCAGACAAAGAGTCAGAAATGGTTGGGGAAGAGGAGGGAATGTATTTTTAAGTAAATAAAAAAAATAAAGAAAGAAAAACCTGGGGGTTTTGCTACACGGTGATTCAGCCAGAGACACAGCTTTAAATGTTTTTTCTACATACCTCTAGGTAGCAGGTGGCTCGTGAAGACTGCTATGCTGGGGCGCATGAAGTGTCCCACAGAAGCGCGGGGGGCTCTCCAGCGCGCTCGGCAGCAGACCTGGAAGTGGGCCAGAAGCACTTCCAGGTCCACTGGGGAGCGCGCAGGGGTCTCCCCCCTACACCCTCCCAGCTCGACTGGTGCCTCCTGGGTCGGGAAGGAGGGGAGGGTACCCAGGGACCCACACAGCCAATCGTCCACTTCTGAGTTCACCACTGAGCATGTGGAGGGCCCCCCCACACACTCCTGTGGGATGCTCCATCCGCCCCAGCATCACAGTGTTTACAAGCCATGCTGGTACTTCGAAGTATGTAGAAAAAACTTTTAAAGCTGTATCTATATCTGAATCACTGATTCTCCGAATCAGCATTGAATCTTCAGATTTGGCCAAATCAAATCAGGGACAGTGGTCTGAATCAATGAATCGATCACTGTCCCTGATTTGGGCCAAATCTGAATCCAAATTGAATAGGGCCCACTTCGCACACCCCTATCGATGACCAACCTCCTGAGCTTGTGAAAGTCAGCTTTCCTAAAGCCGAGGATTTTTGCATTGCTGACTGATTTGCCAGCTTTGTGATGGACAGAGAAAGTGAGCAACTCATGATCACTGTCACCAAGCTTCCCTTTGATCCTCAGGTTGCTGACCAGATTGTCCCCTTTGGCCAGAATCAGATTCAGCAGTGCCTTACCCTTTGTTAGCTCATAGATTTCTTGAGTCAAATTGCTTGAAATGCAAGGGAAAGAATCTGCAAGGGAAAGAAGAATCACTAGTACACTCTGTCCCCTGACTCAAGACAGACACAGGCTGAGCAGATGGAGGAAAGAAAAGGAATTTCTTTCCTCTCGAGCTGAGAGGAGCTGTGACTGTAGGGTACACAGAGGAGAAGAGAAGGGGATGTTGTCTTGTCCATCTTTCCATGCTGGAACCCTCAACCGTGTCACCTGGAAGTGATGGTCACTAGGCATTTAAGTGAATTCCAAGTCCCCTTTCTGTCCTACCTGACTGAGAGGAGAATTTGTTCTGGAGGTAGTAGTTCTGCCTCTCCTTTGATGGCCCCTGTGCTATATATGTAGCTACCTAATGCCAGGTCTTCTGCACAACAGTTTTGCAGCTACAATTTTAAATTTGGCACCATTGGAAACAAACTGTGCCGAGGTCAGGACAAAGATTGGGACAGAATAGTATCTAGAGGGGCACCCATGGTAATCAGGCACAGCTCTTGCATGAATCTCAATTCCCAACCACCTCCCTTTAGGTCCCACAGGGTTGTCTTTGAGAGGGTGACTTCTGACCCCTTGTATTTTCTACTTAAGCCCTTCTGAGTTATTCTGTCTTCTATACCTTTTTCTTAGTTAAATTATTTTTTTTCAGTGATTTATTTTGGTTAACATATTGTCTTCCGGGTTAGCCAGGAAGTGAAAAGAAAGGTCAAAGGTCAACAGCCAAGGATCATGAACCATATGGGAGTCACAGCTCATGCTGCTAGCATTTAATGCTGTCTTTAGTGACCAGTGAAAACCTAATAGCCAGGGATCCTGGGCTAAGCTCCCCCACCCTCCCCACCACTCCTGGTGCACTCTCTCTCTCTACCCCCTCCCACTGCAGGCTGGAATTCTGCCAGCTTGCAAGGGGAAACCCATCGTTTCCTCCATTTTTCTCTTTTAAAGGAGGAAATCTGGGTTTTTCTCCTTAAAATGAGAAAATCCAGGTTTTACCATGTTTTTCTGTGGCAAATGGGAAACCCGGATCTCTGCTAATAGCTAAGGGTTCTCACCAAAGGTACAACAACCAGATTCTGTGTCTTGGGTTGCCCAGGAATGGTAGGGGCAGAGTTGGCTATGGCTGCAGTGACCAGGCTGACAGTGATGGCTGCTTTCATTCTTGCTCCCCCTCTATGTGGCCACCTGGGCTTGATACCCTAATCATCAATCTCTAGTTATTTTACTGGTTCCTGCTCATGACCCATCAATGAACTGTGCTAGAGGTCATCATCAAATCGAGGGATTGCCAATGATGACTGGCTCCTGACAGTGTCAGTCTATGAAGATAAGATCTAAAAATGGGTTTGTCACAAGGTGCCATCTTCAGGGGTGGCCATGAAGCCTCTGGAGACCAAAACATTTCTTTACCCTGCTCTATGGGCAGTTTGCCCTGCTCTCGCCCACCTTGCCTTGATAGTAATTGTTAGTAAGAATTGCGGGAGGCTTCCCTGGTTTTACTGTCATGACCAGCAGGTTTGTGGTCAAGGCCTTATGGGCCAGTTGCGTGGCCCCATTCTGCTCCTATACTGAACTCCAAGCCTCACAGATGGCATCCATACTGATGTCCTCTCATCACTCCCGCAGCCCTTCTCTGGGTCCTCAGATCCCTCAGCCCCACTCCAGGCCTTTGGACCCTTTGGTCTCTCCACTCAGTCCCTCCCTGGGCTGCCAGACTCTTTGGTCTGTTGTCCAGCCCCTCCAGTCTCTTCCTGGACCTTCACTGGGCCTCTGGATCCTTCTGGTTCCACTCAATTCCTTTCCTTTTCTGCTAGGGTGTGGTCCCTTAGCCTTCCCCCTCCATGGGGTAACCCACAAGGCAATGGGAGCTGAGGCTTTCAGGTGTCCCACTCTCACCTTTCCCTGGGCATTTTGTGGGGGATACCTCGCCACAGGCAGCCCCACCATGCTGACCAGCAGTTTCAGGTCTTACCCAGGACCATCTTCAGGCCCTCTTGATTTAACTATCCTGGCCCCTCCTGGGCTCTCTCCTGATGTCATACACCCCTTCTGGACTGCAGGCTTCCAGCTGTAGCCCTTGCCCATCCTGGGCTAAAAGCCTCCTCCCGCTGACACTGTCTCAATCTCACCTCTGGGTCCCCTGGCCCTGGCTCTCTCAGACCCATTTCTTGAATCCTCTTCAGAGGCCTTTCATCAGCCATCTTATCCTAGGTCACATGGTGCTTTACATAAAGCAACCAAGAGTTATAGTGCCCGTCCATGTCTCCACCCCACCCGCCCCAGACTCAAGAGATGTTTGCCAATTGGGTCGGAGGATGGAGGTGGCAAAATTCAAGGACAGATCTCCTCTTTGGAGCTGATTGAGCCCAAGGAACCTGCCTGCAGCCTCTCTCCTCTAGCCCCCACCCTCCTCATATCTAGTGCTGTCTGCAGGAAGGGAGGAGGAAGAAGGGAGGGGGAATGAGCTGTGGGTTGGGGTTTGCCTGGCCTGAGCTGGGGGGAGGGGTACTTTGGCGGTGGAGGGTACGAGTGGGGGGGAATGTCTCCAATCCACACCCCGCCTCAGCTCAGGTTAGGCAAACTCCAGCCCGCAATTCACTCCCCCTCCCCTCTTCCTTCCAGCAGACAGCACAAGGGACGGGGCTGGCCTGATGCAGCAAGATTGCACAACAGATTGACCCTAGGGAACAGACTTCCCTAAGATGCTCCAAAGTGGAGTGCCTTCATTTGATCCCCCATTTGATGAGGGTTAATTTGCCATGCTATCAGCTACTTTTAAAGTGTTCTGCAGCCATGCATGTGTATTATGACATGGCTGTAAAGTGCTTTCAGAGGGTTGATCAGGCAACAAATGTTATTGTCTGTGCCCCTAATGACTCTTTGGAATTTTCTTGATTCTTTCTAAGCTTTTCATTCTACAGGTGCTAATGACCCTCTTTCATTTTAATTGGTCTTTAATAGTGTCATTGCTCCAGCTATCCTTACTTCTGCAGAGCTGCTGTCTGTCAGCTGCTCCTAGTAACATAGCTTCAAATTTCACAGTCCTGCAGGCTGTTTTTTATCTCTAGCTAAAACATTAACTCAGGTGTGGAAATATTAACTCAGGTAAACATTAACTCAAGGGTGGAACTCACTTTAAATAAGCATTGGAAGCAGTGTACAGATGCTTGAGAAGGCTTGATTTTGTTTTATGAATCTGAAAAACAAAGGTACATTTAGCTATAATGTCTTCAGGACTAATGAAACAACATATTTGGATTATTTTTGCCTAGTTTGTGGTGTTTTTATGTATAATATGTGATATAGCAAATGAATGCTCATTCTAATAATTCTTTTTGCTTCAGTCTTAAATTTAATAATACAGCTTTAGGCCCCTACATATTAGTGAAGCTTCTAGTTTCTTTTTAACTGGAGAAAATTGTCTGTTGTGTTCTATGCGATAATGCAATACACCATCTGCACCCCCCCTTTTCAAAATCCTAGATCCACCCATGCACCAGCATATTTTTGTGAAAGAACAACAGGTAAAAATAGGTAGGCAGAAGGGTGACATATGTGAGAAGAGTGCTGTCTGAAAAGGCGAAGCTGGAGGCAGAACTGATGAGGCAACCTGAACCTGTTAGAGGATATTTGGGACTACAGCCACATTTACTGCAACAATGGTGCCTGGATCACCCAACAATAATACACAAGTAAGTAATTGCATGGTTTAGGGCCTAGCTAACTTCCCTACCTAACTCTTTACCTTTGCAGCTCAGTTGCAGAGGATGTGGTTAGAGCAGCTCCCTGGACATAAGTCTGATCTCTGTTGTGTAGAGTGATTTTTGATGGAAGTGCACATTTCTGCTTTGAACACCATTCTTTCCTACCTTGTCTTTCCCTTTAGGAAATGTCTAGTTATTGTACGTTCTTATAGGTTAGCTTATTTTCCCCTAGAAAATCTCTGTTCTCTGCCTGACAGGGAACTTAATCAGACTCTCAGGTTATTTCAGGAATTGGACTCACAGGGGAAAGGAACTCAGTAGTCCAGACTGGAATGAAACAACAGTGGGCCTCAGAGTTTAATGTGCTCAACTGTCGATGACTTGGGCATGTGATGTTTGAACCATGGGGTGTCCCGATCGTACGTTAGTGGCTCTATTATGTCCTGGACCTTTATCAGATTGCAGACTTATGTCCTGAGTTGTGAGAGAGCCTGACACTAGATCTGAGGCATTGATGGTCACAACTGCTCTTGCTGGTTCAAGGCCAGCATCATGCCCTGATCACACAGAAGATAGAGCCTTGACTACATTTGCACCAGACTGGTAAGACTCTCCTTCCTGCTTGCCTTTTCTGTGGTCTAAATGCCTCGTGCTTTGTGTAACGTATGACCACCAAAAAAAGTCCCTGACCTTGCAAAGAAAGGAAGTGCAGCTTTGAAAAGAGAGGAACAGAAAGCCTGTTCAACCAATTCTTCCGCTCAGTCGCTGTCTCACTTGTTTTCTCTACAGTGTTGTTATCCAGCAGCACCTTGGCGTAATCCAGAGCAAGAGGGATAGAAGGCTCCGTGGCAGCTGGAGATGGATGACTTGGGTAAGCGAGCTGCTCTCTGATTGAAGAGCAAGGAATGGACATTTGAATCAAGGCCCTGAGCATGTTGTTTTATGCTAGCATAGGGATAGAACTAGTGCTGAGGTGGAAGGGTGGGTGTACTGGGGCAGAGCTTCTGGAGAGGGGGTTTCTGTTCCCTGTGTTATGAGGACATTGAGTGAAATTAAAAAGTGCAAGTTCAAAAGTAATAAAACAAAATGCTTTCCCTCCCCGCTGTGTTGTTAGCCTGCAGAGGGAACGGACCCAGACTTTTGGTGAGACTAAGAAATTAGGAAGATTCAAAAGAGGGAATGGACATTTCTATGGGGAACTGAATGATTTTTTTTATAGCCATGCTAAAAATTGTGAAAGAGGATAGTAAACCTTGTATTTCAGGGTTTGTGGTTATCCTGAACTACAGTGTTCCCTGTACAAGTGTATTACCTCAGGACGGACAAAGGCTATTCACTGACCTTGAGTGTGCATTTAACCTAAATCAATATAATTAATACTTGTTAATTCCAGGGACATCCTGCAGGCAGTGCACCTCTTCACCATGTTTTTCAGAATATTTTATGCCTCTGATAGCAGCCTTGAAATTGACTGGGCCCAGCCAGTTCAAGGCCACTTCTGAAGCCTTAAAATTGGTGGCTTTTGCAGATTCACCAGTTATTCAATTAAGTGGAATACAGTCACACTGTAAAGTAGACAGAGGGGCCAAAGAGTTCTGGGCATTCACATGGTTCATGCTCATAACTGATACACAGATAGATGCAGTTTGTTACAATGTAAGCACCAGGAAAAATAAATTGGCGCTGGCATTTTGTTTCATCATTAGGTAAATATGCACTTATCCCATATGCATACTAGTGGAGTAATATAGGAGCTAGGAGTTGTCCTACCCTTTCTTCTGAAGCAGCCTAAAGCTAGCTGCAGTAAGAGACAGGATACTAGACCAGGCAGCCCTTGGATCTGCTCCACTGTAGCAGTTACTATCTTCCAGAGGAGCACAGGTTAGGAAGACTGGCTTGATTGACTCAACAGCTCTGATGCTCTGCCCAGGGTACCAAAATTTCTAGTTATACTTCTGATCCTCACCCAATCCCTGCAAGGTAGGGAAATTTTAGCACTCTTTTTAATAAACAGGTTGCTCAGGCACCAGATGGTCAAAAGAGTCCTTTCTATGAAGTGGGTTATAAGGAGGTATTTAAAGGAGGAAAGTGTATTGGCTTTATGGATCCATTCAGAGGAGGCCGGTCAATCAGAAAGGACAGCAGGAAGTGGGAGAAACACGCAAATGGGCTAATGCAGTTGGCATCGCTGGTGGAGTAGAATGGGCAATGCTGATGCAGTGAGGGGAGTGGATAAAGACCGTTAAAGATGAGGCTGAGAAGCTAAAGCTTAAAAGATGATGCCAGTGGAAGAACTCAAGGGGGGAATAGTGATATATGGTTAGGCTAACTAGCCTGGGAAACAATTACCTGTGTGTGGACTGGAATAGTGTGGAGAAGCAAGTGTAGAGAACTGAGAAAGACTCGTGTTATCTTCTTATAACTATCATATGTCCTTCAGCATATCTGTACAGCATTACACTGCCTGACTATGCAGTTAGATCAAACAAGATTGTTGCAGAAACTAGGCAGGAAAGGTAAAGAGTGGCCTAGATAAACAGCATCTTTTTCAGATGTACTAGCGCAGTTTCTAGCTGTGAAGGAGCAGCTTCTCACCACCAGCCCTGGTGACCTGCTTTTTTGCTAAGGCTGAGAAGCAGGAAATCAAAAGACAAAGATCTGATAAAAGATCAGCCCATCTGAGAGGAGGAGGAAGTTGTTGGCACCTGCAGTCTAGAGCTAGGGACTGAAACCTCCAGTCTAGAGCTAGGGACTGAAACCTGTGACAGGGATTTATTCTTCAGGGTATCATTCTATGCCCCCTAAATTGACATGGTGGGCTTTAATTTATTCCGTCACTGTGTACATGTGATAACCCAAAAATCTTATGAAATGCCTCATGTGCTATTCACAGTAAATTACTGCAGGAAGCGCCACGTAACAATCCACCCAACAATCTACCTGCTGATCTCTTCTTGTTAAATTAAACCAGGGGGCACCTGTCGTTCACAGCACACTGAGATGTACCTTCATTAGTTTTTATGCATATTTTAAAAACACTTTTTTTTTGTGATATTTAAAAAAAAAATTCTTATTCTCACATCCTTATTTTTAATTTTACTATTTCTAGTTAAGTATGGGGGGGAGGGGTGTGTGTGTGTGTGTGTGTGTGTGTGTGCGCGCATGCACACATGTGCATGCATGCATGTGTGCATGCAATTTTACTGGTTGCTACTGTGCTCCTGGACGTCCAAGCAACAATGGAACATTGAGGACCCATTAAAGTCCTATGAGTTGTTTAACACCCCCAGCACACCCTGGGACACCCAGATGTCAGTATAGTGAAATAGGAGTTGATAAAAACAAAATGTTTTTTTTGCAAAATTTCTTTAATGAGGTAAGAAAAAAGTTCAGAAGAAGATTGATTCATGTCAGACTCTGCAGTTATACCTGGAGTGCTAAAACATTCATTACACACAAATATCTGCAAATTATAGACAGTCCTTGGACTATGACACAATTGGTTCCTGAAAATTGTGTCTTAAGTCGAAATGTTGTAACTCAGAACCGATTTTCCCATAGGAAACAATGTTATAAATGGGGGATTGGTTCCTGAACCAAGGCCCGATACCCTATTTTCACCAAAAATAACCCAGAATTTTGTACTCAATTAATTTTAGATGAGTAATATAGCTACAGTAACATATTTATATTGTAAATAGCAATCATATTGATTTGGAACTATTTCTTTGAGGTGACTTTGCTGGACTTTTTGAAGCCTTCTCAGGAGTCTTGGCTGCAGGATTTTCTGGAGTCTTGTCTGCTTTCTTAAAGAAAGCGTCCAAGGAAGTTTAGACAGTTGTTCTCCAGGGAGATGGGTGATGCAGTGAACTTGTTCACTGGCGTGGCATGGCATCGGATCAAGAGTTGTAAAGTCAAAAATGATGTCAGAAAGCTGAAATAGGGTGTCGATTTATAAATGTTGTAAGTGCAAAACGTAGTTACTTGAAATGTTGTAAGTCAAGGACTTCCTGTACACTGCAAATTACCTGCAGCTACCTGCAAATTGTAGTGACATCTGGTGGAAAAGGGGGCTCACTACACAAAAATCATAGTGACACCCAGGGGACAAAGGGATCACTACACACCAATCAATGAATTACCATGTAGATGTGACTAACTTATGGCTGCATCATCACTAGAGCTGTGCAAAGCTTTGGATCGCAATTTGGATTCAGAGATGATTTGGATGATTCGGAGGCCGAATCTACAAATCCAAATTGAATTGCTGGAAGCTTTAGGCTTTCCAAATCAGTTTGGAGCTTCCGAATCGATTCGGAAAAGATTTGGCAATTCGGAGATTCGGCCATAGGGTATAATGGGGAATCAATGAAATAGCTATAACTTTGTTGTCTTTTGGCTGATTCAGATGAACCTTGCAAGGACAGTAGTCTCTGCTGAGAGCATGACACGTGCCAAATTTAAAGGTGATAGGTGCAGGGGTTTCTGCTGTGACTTAACACACACACGTGACATGAGTTTTGCTTTCAGAACTTTCAGGTGCAATTTCCCAGAAACGCCTGCACCTAACACCTACTCTATGGCTGAACCTCCAAAACGGCTCCGAGCCTTCTGAAGCAATTTGGCCAAATCGAATTGGAATAACAATTTGGATCTCCATATCGAATCTCTGGCATCTGAATCGGCCAAATCCAAATCAAATAGTTCCCTATTTGCACAGGCCTAACTGTCACAAGTTTGAGCACCTCAAACCAAACTACATCAGGATATGGTCTAGTTTGTCACTATGAGAATTAGTTTAAGAGTCACAAAACTCGTGTGTGTAAAGCGTGATGCAATTAAGCCACACAAAGCAGGATCTTCATCACTTGTACACAGTCTCCTCATCACTTGTACAAGCGCAGGCCAAAAACCAGTTCCCTAGAAGGGGGGGATATTAGAGCTAAGTCATTCCTGCCCAGCGGCTTAAGAGGATTGTATGCACAGGTAAAACAGTGTGTATATATGGCTGTGTTATGTGAAATCAGTTTCTTGGAGTGCTGTGCATCATTTGGCAAGCGAACCATGCATTTTGTTCAGAAGAAGTCGCTTCCATGTTACTCCTCCAGGAGTTCTTGACTTGATACACTAAGTGAAATTCTGTGGCCCATGTTACAGCAAAGTGTTTGATGAGATGGTCTCACTGTTCACTTCTGGCCAATCTTTTACTGTTCTCAGTTTCCTAAAGGAAACATTTGCAGATGCCAAGCTGGTTGGGCCTGCTAAGTAACATATTTGGGCATGGGGGTGGGCCTCAGAACGAACAGATTATCCAGGAGGTATGTGTGCTAGAAGTTACCCAAGGCAGATTATGATGACCACTTCAGGATGGAAAGGAGAGGCCTGAACATGCAAATATAATGGGGAAAAAGATAGAGAGATTTTGAACATGTGGAATGAAAGAAAACATGGCTCCCAGGTCACTGGTTTGGCCAGTAGGAAGGAATGGCACCTTCATCATGTATGACTGGGATGCATATTTTCTTATTTGCCATCTGTGGGGAAGAGAGGATGGACAGAGACACCATGTTAGGAAAGCAGGACTAAGGGCACCAGGGGAGGGGGCAGAAAGAGAAGGAGGTAGCACATCTCTGCACTCCCCCAATAAGATAGAGCGGTATTAGCGGAGCTTGCAGTGGCAGAGGTCAGTGGGAAATGGTACCTTCAGTATGATTAAGTAAAACAGCTGCTCAACTAGAATAAGGAGCAGAGCTGGGTGTGTGGAGTAAGGGAGCTGGATGTATTCTCCTTTATGCTGAAGGGCTGAGAAACCCTGAGAACAGCAAGTGCAGGAACAGGCTTGGGGTAGGGGGAGTTAGATGCTAGCTGTGGAAATTGTAGGTAGGGGGGTCAGGCTATATGATTGAATTATCTCGGTTGGGTTTTTTTTATCAGATGCTTTACTAGCAGAACTAGAACAAAGCCCTAGCAACCCGAAAGAGGACAACCTTCTTCTGGCACAGTGTTCCAGTGGGCAGACAGCAGCAACAGCAGCGCCAGAGATTGGTGGTAACCTGAACCAGACACTCAGCACTTCTGGGACCCACAAGGTATTCCAATCGGTGCCTGATCACATGGGAAGGCCCCAACAGAAATCCACCTTTACATGGGAGTTCTAGTACATGGAGATTTGTCCCAGGCAAGTTTAGTGCATGTCCCCAGGAAGCTACTGTCCCCTTCTTTTTCTCTTGCATCTAACCTAGGAGAAGCAGCCCAGGGTACCACCTGGAACTGAGGGAACTTCTCAAAAGAGCAGTGAATTGTTAGTTTTCTTTAATTAGCCACATTCAGCTGTGTAGTGAGGTGGGTCTGGGAAAAGGGTGCCCTGCATGGAATGTGGTTCAATGGATTATTCTTTATTCCAGCACCAGCTCTTTGTGCTTGCAGGTACAGCTGGCATTAAGTACTCAGCACCAACAAGCAGGTCCAGAGAATGTCTACAGGTAAATGCTGTACCACAAAGGGAAAGCTTTTTGTGGTCCATCCCTAGTTTCTAATCCTTATTTTCCACCAACTCTTGCTCCCCCAACATCTCTTCATTAAAATATAAGGTTGTGGCTCTCTATAGAGCCAATTTGTATGGGACTGTCCACACTAGCCATTCAGTCACTTGTCTCTGCTGTTCCTTCTACTTATTTCTTGTTATAACCCAGCACCCAACTCTAACTCTGCCATCCCATCTTACCACTATGAAGCCACACTTCAGTCATTGCTCTGCCTGGTTATTTCTGAGAGCCTTCTTCAAAATCCACTCCTCTAGGTTTCTCCCCAGATGCATTCCTACCTGCTCTGCCATCCACTTCCAAGCCCCAGATGTAAATCAGAACTAGCAGCAGAGTTGATTGTTCAACCTAGAAGTACATGTCAAGGAAGAAGGGTGTGTGGGCATAGATTTTCTCTAGTGGGCCCTTCCCCATTCGCATTGCAGGAAGCTTTCTGTGATCCTCATAGTTAACACCTCTCCAGCAAGAACAATTAGTGTCTGTTCTGGGGTCATACAGTGACTGAACCTGTGAATATAGGGACCCTTAAGAGATGTCCTTTGCACTTTGGTCCTTTCCTAGCACACAGGGTGGACCCCATGCCACCAACAGATATCCTGATGCTCTTGGGGTTTGATGGCAGAGAGGAGAGTCTTATAGCTGGGCTAAGGGGATTTTTGGTGGGGCTGAAGACATGCCATTCCTCTTTGATGTGAATTTCTCTCTTCCTCCTGCAGTGAAGTTCCAACTCCACAGCCACTGATTTCTTCACCTCCTCCCACAGCAGCTGCTCAACAGCTTGATGACCTCTTAGCCCACTTGGGCCAGATGCAGACCAAGGTGAGTCCTAGACACTCAATCCACAGCCATCCTTGCTTCTGAAAAAAAATGGAGGTGCCTCTTTGCAAATCTTAGGCTGTAGTGCAAGGTTTGGCTCTTCTCAGGCAATGTACCTTGGGTGGCCACCTCATTGCCCCTGCTGTACGTCAGGGGTTGTAGGGCTAGAGACAAGATGCTGTACATAGTGGTCCAGTGCTCTGAGGTGGTTCAGAGAATCCTCATTCTAGATTTTTGGCCAGAGTGCCTTGCTCATATGCTGATTTTTAGAACAGAAATACATTTCCTTTCAGGTCTGATAGAGGAACCCCCCGCAAAGATTACTGTCTGTCTGTCTCCGTGGCTTAGAGCAGGGATGTTAAGTTCATTTGGCTCATGGGATGGACCCAGCTTGCAGGGCTTTGTGCAGGCTGAGTGAACCAACTTCAGCAGCAAGGTGAGCAATGGCTGCATTAACCTCTTGGGTGCTGGCAGCCCTGGGGGTTAACACCAGCACAGCTTGCCCCACTGCCACAGAATTGGACCCCCAATGGGGATCTCAACCCAGAAATTTGGAGGTGGTGTGAGCAAGAGTGGCATTAACCCCCATGGCAGCCAGCACCCAGTGAATTAATGCCACTTCTACTTGCCCTGACACTGCAGACTTGCATTCCCAATGGGGACACCAAAAGAGAAATCCAGTGTTAGGGTGAGTGACAGCAGTGTTAACCCTCCTGGATGCTGGTTTTACCAATACAGCAGCTCTGACAGCTGCAGGGATTAATACCATCACTGCATGAGCCACCACCAAAGTTCCAGCCCCATGGACTGGATCTGGAGGGAAGTCTTCCAGACTGCAAGAAGCCCTAAGTACTGGAGGATCCACCTCTGCAGGGTGGTGCGGCTTGCAGGTTGTATATTTGATACCTGTGGCTCAGAGCATGGACTGCATTCTGGGCTCATCTAGGTGTCTGTCACCTAATCAGTTCCCTGCCTGTTCCCTGCCTAATTACAGGATTTGGGGCTTTAGTCATGCCTTATTCTCTTCTGTTCTCTGCCTTTACCACTCAGTTTATTATCCTAAGGACTGTACTGGAATTAGATTGACCACATCAGTAATTTAGCTAAAATTCCTTTATCCAATTCAAAGGCCATTAGCAGTAATACAGTGTTGTTTTAAATGCTATAGCAAATACCGGCTATATATTAGATGGCAATGCTACATCATATTAATATACATACCCACACAATAGTTACATTTTCATTCATTTGATCAGAATATTTACAATTGGGATAGCAAATACGACATTCTAACAGTCTCCAGCAGATCCAGCTGGCATTAACAAAGTCTCTCTTGCTCTGTTTTAATCTCCTTAAAACAATGTAATGAAAAGTCTATTTTGAGGTGCATGCCTACATACCCCATCTTATTTTGCCCCAAATCTAACATTTTTTCTACCTAATTGATTTACCTTTTTGTTGTTATTTTTGATGGGGTCTCCAGACTTAACCGGAGCTAAGCAAGTTGTCATACCACCTTTCTTTCTCTGGTCTATCACATTTCTCCTACATTAGCATATTAGTTCTTTCTTTTCCTTCGCTTAAGCTATCACTTTCTGGAAGTTTGGTCCATGCTTTTGTATCAAACATTATCAAACATACCATGACCTATTACATGCACCATATTACATTTTCTTAACATATTATAACATGATTCCTGCAGATTGAAATGCTTTTGTTTACCTAAAAAAAAATAAATCACTGGACTTAATACAAGGGTGTATGGGCAAAATGTACTGGTCTGTGATATACAGGTGATCTGACTAGATAATCTAATGGTCCCTCTATAAACTCTATGGAACCTCCTAGGAGAGAGTAGGACATCCTGTTGATGATGCCCCATCTCCTACAACATGGGGGTCAAATTCACATAGTACTCTTTGTGGGCTGGATGCAGCCTGGGCACAGGATTGGCTACTATGTCCAGTGCCACTATGGCAGGTCTGGCAGCAGGGGCAGGTCTGGAGGTGGTGAGGGATCTGAAGGCAGCAGCAGCTGTAGTGGCGAGGGATCCTGGGAGAGGGTCTGAGTTCATAGTGATAGTCCAGAGGTGGCAGCAAGTCAAACAAGCCACCAGTGACCAGGCTAAAGTGCCCTGAATTATGCTAGCAGGCCATGCTCCCCAACCTAGGGTGACCCAGAAGAGCCAGATAGATGCTTCACAGGTTGGATCCAGCTGTGGGCCATATCTCTTACACTTTTCCTGGAGAATCAACATCCTAGGAGAGGCGAATGGGGCGAGAAGAAAAAGAGGCAGGGTGAGAGAGTGATACCTACAGTCCCATTTCTCCCTTTCTTGGAGTTCTTGGCAGGGACGGAACATGTTGGGGGGCCACCATCAGTGGAACCAAGCCACAGCAGCACATTGGACAGCATGTTGGGGGACCTAACACAAGAGCTCCAGGACCTGGGCATCAATGCTGTATCTAAAGGCGAGTGCGCTTCCTGCCACAAGGTCATTGCTGGAAAGGTGAGATGCATGGGGTGGAGTGGCCATCCTGCAACCATCTGTAGGTGTGCTAAGGCAAACCCTGGTTTCACCAGAGATGGCTCCTTACTTCTAATCCTGGTACTGCAGAGCTGAGAAATTTGTTGTGTTAGGCAGAGGGTTTCTCCTGTGCCCTGCTGTAACATCGGTGGTTCCAGGCTGATGCTACCAAGGTCCCCATCCCAGTTTGCCGCCAGGCTCCAACCTCCTCACCCTCATTTCTGGTCTCTCTGGGTCTGGTCCTCTCATGGTTATCTTTCCTGCTATGACTTGATGTTATAGGTTCATAGAGAGGCTTCCCCAGGAGGCATAAGGTTTGGGGTGGATTCCTGTCCAAACTCAGGCCCTTCTCGGCCTTAGCTCACTTTTACTCTGGCTGCGTCCTATGGCCCAGTGTCTACTGCACCAGGACTCTAGGTTCTTGGACCCCAGCTACAGCTCAGCCTTCTGCAGACTCTGGCCCATTCAGCCCCCAGGTATGCCCCCTTTGCAGGCACGGGGTTTATATTCCTCCTTGGTCTTATGGACAGATACCCAGTCTTCTGACATGCCACAACCCTCCCTGTGGTAAACTATTTGGGCTGCTGCCCACACACAACATCCCAGGGCTCTAGTCCCTTCAGAGTGTTGTAAATTGAATGCCTCTGCTGCACCCCAGTGGCCTCTAGTCTACCCCTTACAGCAACCCAATTTTCCAGTGCAAACATAAATCAAAGTATGAGCATTCACTCTCAAACACTTAGCTTGCCAAGCACAAGCTCCCCTGTTGGGGTTAACTCTCACCCCAGTTAACACAAATGCAAAGGGTACAAAGTACTTATCTCATGTTGCTAGCTATATAGGGTCTCTTCCACCCACCTGTAGCACGTAGTCTTTATCCAGACTGGCTCACCCCTAGAACTCTACCTCCAGCAGCACCTACAACCAGACTGCCTCTTCTAGGCTAAGCCCTGGGCTTTTGAGCCTCTCCCTGGGTCATCTGACCATTTACTTCTGCCCCAGGCCTGCCAATTACTGCCTACACCTGTGGTGGGTAGCCATCTTATTTAAATCCTTTTCACTATTGAGTCTGTTCAAAGGGGGTTGTGCTGGTTCCCCTTTCTCAGTAATGGGACAGGATCTCTTCCCCCAGATTCTTTTCCTATAAACTACTGTTGCAGCTCAGCTCAGGGGAGATCTATTACTTGTTTTAGTCACAACTTTGTATGCCTAGACTATTAGGTACACTGGGCATAGAGGGGCACCTTAGTGGCAGAAATTCCTCTGACAAAATCTTCCTTGTCTTTGTCCCCATATAGATAATCACTGCTCTGGGAAAGTCCTGGCACCCTGAGCATTTCACCTGCACACACTGTGGAAAGGAGATTGGCTCCCAACCCTTCTATGAGCGGGGTGGCCTTGCATATTGTGAAAAAGACTACCACCAGCTCTTCTCCCCACGATGTGCCTATTGTGCAGCCCCCATCCTGGAGGTAAGTAGAGCTGACCCTCCCCTCCTCTGAGTCTGAGTGCATGCCTGTTTAACAGAGCTATTGCTGTCATACCTGTGCTAGCAGAGAGATATGCTACCAGGGCCCTTCAGTGGATGTGCAGTACATACCTGCACAGTTAGATCACTGCCTCAAATGACATTAGCTAGCTCTGCAGCAGTCTGCTTCTGTCAGCAGAATTGCCCCCACACCAGGAGGTCTTGCTGTGTAGCTAAGTTAGCTGGAGTTTGTGATTTTATTTATTTATTTATTTATTTTTTTACTCTGAGGAGGAGAACTTGCAAGATTGCTTGTTCTCTCTGTCCTTTACCTCTTCCTCCCCTTTCCCTCCCCTGCTAGTTCATTGTCTCTTAAGGTTCTCTACAACCATCTGACTCTTTCTTTTCAGAAAGTCCTGACAGCCATGGACCTGACCTGGCACCCAGAGCACTTCTTCTGTACACACTGTGGGAAGGTGTTCGGTGAAGACGGTGTGTCCCTGGGAGATTTCCCTTGTTTTCCTGCCAAACGCTGCTCCCCGTTACATGCCCACAGGAAAACTGGGATTTCCACAAAGATCTATGCCTCTGTTGTGACCCACAGCACTGCTGATGTTCCAGTCTTAAGGCTAGGCACCAAATATCTTCTGATGCTGTTCCATCCTGACCCATAGCACCCTGCTCTTTCTGACCTGGGATCCCAACATGAAACACTGATGCTCCTTGATACTGATCTGCAGGCCCTGTTGCTGTTCCAGTCTTGCACCTCCTCTCTTATCACTTCAGCCATGCCCTTCACCTGTGACTCATAGCCTCCTGCCATCCCAACTCTGGGCTCCTCCCACAGCTCTGCCAATTTTCCCATAGTTCCTCCTCCTGCTGTTACATTCTTGAGTTGTAATTTTTAGGAGGGGCACCAATTGGGGGCAGCTTTGGAAACAAGAGCCCATTTCACTGGGTGGCATCACTGCTATCCCTGCAAGGGGTAGACTGGTGGGTGCCTTGCACCTGAACTGGCTTTTAGCCAGTGCTCTCACTGCTACTATTAGGGTGGAGCTCTGATCATAGCATAGCCTGGAGGAACTGTGGGTAGTGGTTCAAGCACAGGAAACCTGAACTCTATGCCCAGCTTTGCTCTTGATGAGGGGAGTGACTGTGGGTAAGTCGCTCCACCTACTATGGGCCAGTTTCCACATCTATGAACAGTGTCAGTAAAACTGATTTCCTGTAAAAGAGGACAGTAATGGATAATGGATAGAACGTGCTATACAGTGCTGGGTTACACTATTATTTCTGGCATGTAACTTTTTTCACATGCTACAGGCACCTTAGTGATAATCTGTTCACTGCTACTACATGCCCACAGAAGCAGAAATTTGCTATCCATACATTTCACCTTTCATTCTGCTTTTAGATCCCATCCCTATCCCTGGAGAGCAACTCTATGCATGTATGTGTTTTAATTGCTTGGTAGTTGGGCTGCTTGTGAGAAGGGCTCATTGATTTCCCCTGTGGGCTGAGAGCATAAACATTCCCGTCCCTACCATGAGACTCATTTTCTAAGCAGGTGCCTAGAATCTGTCATCATTAGCCATACTCAGGTAATTGGTACCTGAGAGAGTCATTGCTGAGGGACTTGCTCATGTTCCCATGCTGCTAATTACAGCCATACAACAAAATAAGGTCCCAACTCATGTTAGGGTGGGGTTGATTTTTTCTTTGTCATTTTGTAGTGCCTCCAGGCATCCTTTTGCCCTGAGGTGGGACCTCTCCAGAGACCCATTTCCCCCATTCTCCCACCCCACATACATCTTTGAGACTTCTCCTTAGCACTAGCTAACTTTGAAGAGGTGAAACAACAAGAAGTGGTTTGGTCAATGAAAAGTCTCTGCACAGTTTAGTCTCCATCCTAACATGCCTTGAGGCAAATAGTTTGGAAGATGCGTCCAGCTCTGTACCATCCTAGCTCTGCCTATAGATGTGACAACAGAGCAAAAAGCTCTACCTGCAAACATCTCCTGTAGGATGTCCCCTGTTATCACAAGTCTTTCCAACTCTATTCTTTGGCCAGTAGCTTAGGTATGAGCTCCTGCTTTTCTGTCTGACTTGTTTTGGGCTTCTACCTCCTGCCTTTATTGTTAGAGACACCAGTTGAGCTCAGAACCCTAGTGTACTGGGCATTGCACAAACAGTGCAAGATTCTCCTGGGTCCAAACAGCTGGCAGTGCAAATAGACAAGAATGAGGGTGGGAGAATTGAAAAACATGAAGCCCCAGGTGTGAAGGAACAGGAGGAGTCTGGCACAGCTGTGACTAGATCACTCAAGTCCCAGGCCAATGACTTAACCACAACCACAGCGTTTCTGAGACAAAAAATTAATAATAAAAACATTCATAATGCTACTTTGCCATAAAATAAAATCGCTCTGGACTAGAGATTCCTGTATATTTGCACAGAGGAAACAGGACTGATAGAAAAGGAAAGTAGGAGTGTGACCGAGAGAAATTCACATCTTAGAGTATCCCAGTGCAAACAGTTCATGATGATTCATGACCTTGGTCATGATTCTTTGCCCTACCATTTTCTGCAGGTTTCCATGAGAAGAACGGGAAGCCATACTGCCGGAAGGATTTTCTGGCCATGTTCTCCCCTAAGTGCAAAGGCTGTGACCGACCTGTGATGGATAACTACCTATCAGCCCTCCATGGTGTCTGGCACCCTGAGTGCTTTGTGTGTGGGGTGAGTGTACAGCTAGTTGTGTCAGGGATGGACATCTGCTCTCTCCACTGCAAAAAAGGGATGCAGACTTCTTATGCATGGGGTTATCTAATAGCTGTGATTTTAGCTCCCATGTGGAAGCTGGTTCGATAAAACACCAGGACAGAAGGAGCAAACCTTGTATGACACCTGGTAAAGCAACAGGCCTTCTATGGTTCCCAGTGAATTAAATGACTTGGTTATGGATAAGGCCTCTCAGATAGTGGCCTATCCTGCCACTAAAGTGCATCCCAGGCCACTTGTCTAGCCTAAACTTTCTCCATTAAAACACCCCTAGCGTGCCCTTAGGGCAGTTGTCCAACCCACACCTAGAGGTACCCCCAAGCTGCAAATTTCATTGATGAACTTCCTTCCTATCCCACTCCTCCTGCAGTGGGTTTAGTACTCACTAGAACTAAGCAAGATAGAAGCATAGGAGGTTCATCAAAAATCCCTCTGCATTACACTTTCTACCATTAATGCTCATAATGACAGTAAAGAATAGGAGAATTCCATTTGTGTTGCTTGTCTCTCTCCAGTGGAGCCTTTCTATGAATCTGTCTACCCCAAGGGTGGGCAGTTATTTCAACTGGAGGGCCACTTACTGAGTTTTGGCAAACTGTCAAAGGCCACATGGGTAGCCCCACCCCTTGACAGGTGCCCTGCCTCCTGGTCACCATCTTGTGACTTTGAGTCCAGCCCCCTAAACCCCTGACCTTTGCCACCAGAAGTCCCTCTCCTTGCCCCCAGAAGTACTCCTTTCAGCAAGGGGTTTTGCCATTTCAGAACCAGAAGAATACCAAATTATATTCTAAAAATTGAACATCTACAACATTCATTAATTTGATTTCAAAAAATATTTTTGTCCTGATTTATGCGTGTTTGTGTGGTGTACATAGAGGTGATTGCAAAATAGTTTAAAATGAAGTCTTACTCTTGTATGTTGTTGGGAGGTGGGTGGCATGGAGGGGGGGGGTATAGGTTTGTGGGGGCCTGTGGGTGTGTGTATGTGGGGTGTGGAGGAGGATATGTGGGGTTTGTGGGAGAGTGGATAGATGTGGGCGTTGTGGGGTAAAGGGAGCATGGGTGTGAATATGGGGTGGAAGGGTGTGAGTGGATATGGGGTTTGTGGAGGAGGGTGGCTGAAGTGTGTGAGGGGGTGTGGGGGTCTGCATGTATGGCAATACTAGGGGAGGTGTGGGTGCATGTGTATGGTGGGGAGTACAGGGCCTATGCTGGTGTCCTGGGGCCAGCTGTCACTGCGCTCCTGTGCACCCACCCTGGGCCCTGCTGGCCCTGGTTCTGGGCCCTGCGCTCCCACCCAGCTGTCACTGCGCTTCTGTGTGCCAACCCTGGGCCCCACTGGCCCTGACCTCTGGACACTGTCGTGGGCCCCATGCTCTCACCCAGTTGTCACTGCTAGGGCTATGTGAAGCTTCAGTCCCTGATTCGATTTGGTGGAGATCTGGCCTGATTCAGTGGCCGAATCGCCAAATCCAAATTGAATCAGAGGACCCTTTAATCTCTCTGAATTGAATCGGAACCCTCTGAATCAATTCGGAGAGATTTGGAAAGATTCGGCGATTTGGACATAGACACAGCTTTAAATGTTTTTTCTACATACTGCATTGCTGGGGCTCATGGAGTGTCCCACAGAAGTGCGGGGGACTCTCCAGTGCACTCAGCAGCAGACCTGGAAGTGGACCAGAAGCAGTTCCAGGTCCACTGGGGAGCATGTGCCCTCCCCCCCGGCTCAACAACTGGTGCCTCCTGGGTCTGGGGGGAGCACCCGGGGTCCCCCTGCAACCGATCATCCACTTCCGGGTTTGCTGCCAAGCATGTGGAGGACCCCCCCACACACACTCCTGTGGGATGCTTCATCTGCCCCAGCATTACAGCATTTGCAAGTTGTGCTGGTACTTTGAGGTATGTAGAAAAAACTTTGAAAGCTGTGTATATGTCTGAATTGCTGATTCTCCAAATCAGCATCGAATCTTCAAGTTCAGATTTGGCAAAATCGAATCAGGGACAGTGATCTGAATCAATGAATCAAATCATTGTCCCTGATTCGGGCTGAATCTGAATCAAATAGGGCCCACTTTGCACACCCCTATGCACACACCTTCCTGTGCGCCTGCTCACTTCCACTTGTCCACCGCCTGCTGCCACATCATTGCTTTCCTGCCTGCCATGGTGGTGGCACTCCAGCACCATGTGATTCCCAGCTGCATGGCTGTGACCATGGGAGTCAGCAGGAGCTGGCCTGGCCCAGCCCTGAAGACTGGGGCAATCGCTCATGGCCCTCCCTCACCTCCCTCCTCCCCCCACACCCCCTTATCTGAATTTCCCTTTCTGGCAGAGGGAGGAGGGAGCAGCCCCAGGGGCCCAGGCCAGAAGCCTCTGATTGGCAGAGGCTTCTGGTTGGGGACTGGGGGTGTGTGGCCTGGCAGGCCTTGCTGCTGCAGCTGCTTGGTCCTACTGCTGGCTCCCCCGGGTCCTACTGCTCCTGGCTCCTGTCATCTTTGACAGGCAGCCAGGGGCAGATAAATATTAATTTTCTAAATTTTTTAGGCACCCCGCAGGCCAGAGAGAATGGCCTGGTGTGCTGTATCTGGCCCGCAGGCCATATTTTGCCTGCCTCTGGTCTACCCACTTCTTTTGGGCTTTCTGTGTGCAAAGCAGCAAGGATGTGTATGGGTGGGGGTGGCTGTCACTGTTCAGGGTAGTTGAAAGTGAGCCTCCAACTTGCCTCTAAGCAAAGAAGCATAGACAAGCCTTCAGTATCCTTAGCCTCTCATTCTCTTTCCCCTCTCCCAGGACTGTTTGAGTAATTTTACCTCGGGCTCCTTCTTTGAGTTAGATGGCCGCCCATACTGTGAGCTTCACTTCCACCAGCGGCAAGGGACGGTGTGCCATGGCTGTGGACGGCCTATTACTGGGCGTTGCATCAGTGCCATGGGGCACAAGTTCCACCCTGAGCACTTCATCTGTGCCTACTGCCTGATGCAGCTGAAGAAGGGCACCTTCCGGGAGCATGGAGAGAAAACCTACTGTCAAGCCTGCTACAGCAAGCTCTTCTTGTGACTCCAGCGCAGGCACCTTGAAGGCTGCAGGGCTCACATGCATGAAATGCTTTCCCACTCCTCTCTAGCAACCTCAGACAGGAGCTGGAAGACAGGGAGCGGGACTACTGTAAGAACATCAGTCTGGAGACCAGAATCAAAACTGAGAAACCATCTCCAATGGGCTCAATCCTCAAGTTGTTTAAATCAGCAGAGGTCCATTGAATTCCTTGTCAGTTTACACCAGCTGAAGACCTGGCCCTGTACTGTTGAGGGGAGGGTGGTCCCATTATTCCCCTCCCAGGGAACTTCCATAGTTCACTGCAATCTTTTTCCTTCCTACCCCCTTGCCTGCTTGCTTCCCACCTCTTCACTCTCTGCTCTGCTGCTTTTATCTCCACTCCTTGACTTCAGCTGCTCCATTTTCCCCATGTTCATCTGGCCTTCCTGTTGTCAGGCACATACAAACGTAATTTGGATGAGTCTATTGGATGAGTATACTGTAACTGGATGAGTATATTGTACTGAAATAAACTTCCTAGGATTGTCTCTGTTTGACTTGCCTCTCTTTTCAAAGGGATAAGTTGAAAATGGTTCTGGAGATACACCCAGGCACATGGAGTGGGCTCTGGTGGTTAGGACCTAGATGCCTTGTTCCAGGAAGGGGGAGGGAGGGGACCTCCCTCAGACCAACCATGACCTTTCCATTTGATAATAGGCAAATTTAATGACACTCAGTGATAACAGAAAAGAAACAATACAAACAATCAAGCAATTCTATAGCTACCAATTCTAGGGCTGTCATCAGAGTCCAGGAACATCTGACCAGGATGCAGGCTTCAGTCTAAGGCTCTCTCTTAGGTGTCAGATGTCAACGTGTTAGCAGCCTGGAGGTGGGATGCTGAGTTCCACATGCCATCTCCAGTGGGGTGGATGAGACAGGCTGGTGGTGTGCCCTCTGTCCATGGTGGCATTGGGGACCCCTCCCAGGGGACAGGGACTCTCTCAGGGAGGAGGAGGACCCAGGCAGAGGAGGGCGAGGATGGGGAGGGACCCTTTGTTACTCTCAAGTCTCTGCTTTTGTATTCTCCTTCCCTCCTGATGACTCCTGATGACTCTTGATCCGTGGCTATCGCTGATTGGTCTCTCTGTGTTTATCTCACCATCTACACTATGTTTTGTCAGCATATTCCAAGCTCACCACATGCACACCCTTTCCAAAACAGGAATTTCAGGGCCCCCTCTTTGGCCTTGCAAGCTGGTGCCACCTTGTTCCATCTTATGAAGCAGTGTGGTGCATGCTCCCAGTTTCTCAGACCGTGTGTCCTTGTTTGTTAGACAGCCTATTTGCTTCTGAGGGCTGAGAAACTGTGTATGTGAGCCCCAGGCTCTGAGAAATCAGTTAACCCCTGCTGCCCATTCCGAACCATTCTAATGCATATATATATATACACCTATAAGCCAATTCTCAAAAAGCAAACCTTTACATATCATTCTTAAGCCATCAGGATCTGTAAAGTGGTAGCTCTGGAATTCTTTGCAGGAAAACTATATGGAATAAAGAACAACTACAGTAATGTCAGGGAATTGGATAGGATCTCCCAGGTCAGCCATACCAGCAGGGGTCACAGGGAATGGGGCAGTTCTTTGTCCCTGGTCCTGGCATTGCTCAGTTCCTGGCTCCTCACAGGAGCTGGGAGCCGATCAGCACTGGGACAAGGTTGCTCTCTGCCCCCACCCACCCCTAACCTTCCTGGTACGGCATGGCTCCCAGCAGGGGACTCACTGGAAGCTGTCCCACTTGTCCCCTGCTGGGTTAGGAAGCTCTGCTGGGCATAGGGCTCACTGGCAGTTGTGTGTCCCAATGTGCACAGGACCAGGAGAACTCTGCCAGCTGCAATGGTAGCTGTCTCCTGGCCTTTGGACATCAGGACCACTTCCAATGTGCACCAGGCCAGGAGACAGCTGCTGCTGCCGCCACCAGAAATCTCTTGGCCCTGTGTGCATCAGGACCACCCCCCATACCCCCTGCCAACCCCCGGGCTAGCACCCCAAGGGAGCCTGGACCATTCCCTGGTTCCTGCAGGGGGATAGAGCAGGGCAGGAGCTGTACCTGCACCTGGCTGTTCCAAATGGGAGCAGATTTGCTCCCAACAGGGTGCATGTGTAGATGCGTTCCTGAGGAAGGCTTACAGTGGAGTATTTTACTGTGCAGTAGGCCTATATTGCATTAGCACAATGCATGGGAAAAAACAAAATGTTTTGTTTGAACAGTTATTAAGTGGGAAATGGAGGCTGCTACTATTGGCTAATCAGAGGCAGGAACAAATACCAAACAAAAAGTGTCCTGGGGATGTTGTATCAGTGCTTTTAGTGAATTACATTATTTTCTCCACACATGGGAAAGCAGTGATTTTGCTGTAAATATTTTGCAAGTGATATTTGGTCTAAGATTAAATCAAAGTAGCCACTTCCAAAATAATATCAGCAGATAGCCCTGTGAAATTGTCTCCATGGTGAAACTGTCTGAATCTTTCATGGATTTATCAGAAAACCCTGGGATCAGCACCTAGAGTTGACCAAGTAAGCAGTCTTTTACTTAATCTTCATCTGTCCTTCTTGTCCATCTGTCCATCACCAGCCTTTCCCTGAGAAGCAGGAAGTTTCAGATCCGGTCACTGTCAAGGACCTATATGATCTCTCTTCCTCTCTCTTCTTCCAGTCTTTTTGTTTGTTATCTGTCCCACCACTGACAGCTGTTTTTGTAGTGCTATTTATAAAGCCACTTGAATGGCAATCCCTCGTGGCTATTGGGCTATCGGCCTATATACATCCCATGCTTTGACATGGAGAGCACAGCACTCCTAAAGGAGTACGAATCATCTGGTGATCTCAATGTAGCAGATCAACTTGAGTCTCTCAGTGCTACATGATGTGCTAAAAAGGGAAGAAACCACAGCAGAGCTAAACTTCACTCATTCTAGTCGGAAGACCTGGAGCCTAATCTGCCACCTTAGATCACCCCAAAGCCCCTCCACCTGCACCAAACTGTCCACTAGTCACCCCAAACCAAGTGGCCAGTCACCTACTACATGTAGCCAAGGCACCACTGGAAAAGAACACACACCATACACTGAAGCAATGCCAGAAGCAACACGCAGAATATAAAAGCCCTGACCCCTTTGACGTCACCCAACTGGAAAAAGTCTTAAACAGCCTGAAACATGGTGAGGCTGCTGGTTATGACAACATCTCACCAAAATTCCTGAAACAACTTGGGCCTTGTGCTAGTGCATGGCTGACCCATTTCTACAAAAGAATTATCAGCTCAAGGTCACTCCCCAGGAAATGGTGTATGGCAAAAGTTATTGCCACTCCAAAGTCTGACAAAGACAATGGATATCCCAGGAAGCAGAGGCCATCCTTAGTGTCGATCAAGCCAGGTTCCGCAAGGGCTGCAGGGCATATGAGCAAGTACTGGCACTTACCACCTACATCAAAAATGGTTTTCAGAAGAACCTAAAGACTGGCGTTGTGCTACTGAACCTTACAGCTGCCTACAATACAGTATGCCACACTGGCCTGCTTCTAAAGCTGTCAAGAGTACTTCCAAGTTGGGTCGTTATAATCATTGAAACACTCCTCCATAACAGATGATTCAGAGTCCACCTTGGGCAGGGGATAAGTGCATGGAGGAGACAGGCCAATGGACTTCCACGGACCTCAGTGCTGGCCCCAACCCTGTTCAACTTATACATAAATGATCTACCAACAATCACATCCCACAAGTTCATCTATGCTGATGACATTTGCTGTGCCACTCAAGCTCCATCTTTTCTCACTCTGGACCAGACCCTGAATGAAGATGTGACAAAGCTGGCAGACTACTGCACCACATGGCGGCTCACACTGAGTCTTGGCAAAACTGTATCCACTGTATTCTGTCTCCACAATGCCAGTGCCAAAAAAGAGTTTACCATCCATATGGATGTGGAGGAGCTGGCCCAGGCCCTGCACTCCTGCTGCCCCGCTCTGGGTCCCTGCCGGTGCTGGCCCCAGTGCACTGGCAGCTCCGTGCTCCTGCCCAGCTGTTGCTGCACTCCAAACACCTGCTCGCTGACACTCCCCCACCACCTGAGCCTGCTGTAGCCGTTTCCCTGCTTTCCTGTCTGCTGCTGACACCTGCCCCCCGCCTCCACCCTGGCACCATGTGGTTCCCAGCTACAGCACCAGGACCACAGGAGCTGGCTTGGTCTGGCCCTGAGGACTGGGGCAATCACTTGCAGTCCTCCCCTGCCCCTCCCTGCTCCCCACACCTTCTTATCTAAATTTCCCTCTCTGTGGAGGGAGGTGGGAAAAGACCCAGAGTTCCAGGCCAGAAGCTCTGCTAGGCAGAGGCTTCTAACTAAGGAGGCGGGGGGGAGAGGGGGCTGAGGTTGGGTTGGGGCTGGGTGGGCCTTGCTGTTGCAGCTGCTGGGTCCTGCTGCCATCTCCCCCTGGGTCCTACCTTCCCCCAGACAGACATATTTGGGGTCATTCTTGGGCCAGTCCTCTTGGGGATGAGACCCTGTTGGGAGCAAGGACAGGGGAGTTAAAACAGCTGACACTGCCCCACGTGCATGCACACACATGGCAGTCACCAGCACGGGCTCTCAGGCACATGTACCCATGTACATGTACTGTTGTTGCCCACACATACACATATAGGCACAGAGGCCACCAAAAGGATGTCATGGGCTGGGGCAGCATTGGGTGCAAGGGGCTGCAGGCCAATTCTTTGGTCTTCCTAGGCCTCGCTGGCGTGGGCAGGGTCCTGGGTTTCTCTTGCCCACTGGTCCCTTTCCTTTAGCCTCATGCCTGCTCTGGGGGCTTCTGCTGAGGCCCTAGGATGGAAGGAAAGGGAACAGTCAGTGTGCCAGCAGTGCCCTTCCCTGGGCACCAAGGCTCTGAGCCCCTCATGCCCCATGATGGATCTGTATAGGAGGGAAGGAAAGCAGGGTCATCATGAAGGGCAGCAAGCAACTCCTGGAGAGACAGCCCCACACCCATGCATTCCCATGAAAGCCACCAGCACAGGCTCACAAGCAGGTACGCACGTACACACACTGCTATCCCCCACACCTATAGGTATGGCACATGTGCTGACCCACCAAGTAGGCACACAGGCCACCAGAAGGATGTCAGGGGTTGAGGCAGCAAGGGAGAGCAAGGGGCTGCAGGCCAGGGCGTGGCCAGTTCTTTGGTCTTCCCAGGTCACGCTGGTGTGGGCAGGGCACTGGGTCTCCCTGGCCCGCAGGTCTCTTTCCTCTACCCTCAGCCTGGCCCTTGCTTTGGGGGCTTCCACTGAGACCCTGGGATGAAAAAAGAGGGGACAGTCCCTTGGCTGCAGGCTGAGGCTGGTGGGGTCCTGCTAGATCAGGGAGCAAGCAGGGACAGGGAGGGCTCCAGCAGCCCCTGGTCACCCTTGGCATTGTCCTGGGGCACATCACCTGTCCCTACATCTTAACCTTCTTCCTGGTGGCACGGTGGATGCAGTCGGAGGGGGGCCC